GAGGCAGGAGGATCGCTTGAGCTCAGGAGTTTGAGGTTGCTGTGAGCGAGGCTGACGCCACGGCACTCTAGCCCAGGCAACAGAGCCAGACTCTATCTCCAAAAAAAAAAAAAAAAAAGAAAGAAAGAAATATTTCAGTATTTTAATCAGTATGTCCATGCTAGTGCAGACCAACTAAAATTTAGCCTTAGTTGGAGTTGAAAGCCCTGGTAGTAATTATCTGAGCCCAGAGCCAACACTCTCTTGTAGACACAAAGTCCTTTTTGTTTGTAATAGCCTCTGAATCTTCCAGGAAGTGCAACTACCATGTAAAATGAAGGAAGTTTGTATCGTGTTTTGTTAGCAACTTGGCCCGCGATCATCCTCCGTGTCAGAAAATCACATTGCTCCCGGCTCTTGGTAATCAGACACCAGTCCTGTGTGTTCCCAGTGCATTGCGGGGTGTAAACAGTCAGGCTACCTCCTTGGGTTCTAGGGAGGTGGCCTCACGCATTTGCATATTGAAATGGATTCATCAGTTATTATCCTCTTACTCCTCCTTTTCATTACAGTTAGGGCAATAAAAGATTGTTTTTAAAATCGTGTGCAAGTGAGTTCTATTAATATTATCTATAAACTTCAGGAGAGCAGAGCAAACTTTCCCGGAGCTGACATTCAAGCCAGCTCGTGCCCTGAGATGGCCGTGCTGGTGGTTAAAACACAAAAATGTACTATGGATTATTTACCCCTTTGGTAAGTGGTCATTCCCCCAGACCACTAGTATACTCCTGGGGAGCCCCTGGACCTCCCTCTGGCCCAGCAGCCAATAGGTTAACCCTTGGCACAGCGGGAGGGAAGGGAGATGCCTGTCCCGGATGTCGTCCGATGGGCCACTGCCTTTGCCAAGCAGTAAAAATTTTGCATGTCACCACTGGATGTTACAAAATATTTGCTCTGAAAAGCAAGTGGTGCGTTAAGACCTGTCCACAAATGCACCTTTATGCACAATAGCTCCAACCTGGAAACCACCCGTCAACAAGTGAGTGGATGAACAATGGTACATCCAGACAATGGAACACTCCTCAGTGGTTAAAGGAAAAAAAGGAATAAACCACTGATATGTGCAAAAACATGAATAAATCCCAAAAGCATTATGTTACATAAAAGCAGCTGGATGCAAAAAGCTACATGGTCTATTCCACCAACGTCATATTCCAGAAGAGAACAAACTAATTCATGGTGACCAGAAGCAGATCAGTGGTTGCCTAGGCCTGGGGGTAGAGGAAGGGGCAGACTGCAAAGAGGCACAAGGACATT